ATTACTTTTCCATAATCCTAGAACTGCAAACTCAAATCTGGGCTGATACATCTTTTTCCCACGTTCCGAGGTCTAGAAAACGAAGATCCATATAAATTCCTCAGGGAATTTCATGTGGTTTGTTCAGGAATGAAGTCGCATGTTGTTACTGAAGATCAGATAAAGTTAAGGCATTCCCCTTTTCAGTTCAAAATTTAGCAAGGGAATGGCTCTACGAGCTCCAATCCGGTTCCACCACCACTTGGATTGAACTCACGAAGTTTTTTTAGAGAAGTATTTTCCAGAAACGTGAGTGTCGAGTCCCATAAGAGAAATCTTTGGTATCAAACAAGGAAAAAGAGAAGCTTTACACACTTACTGTGAGAGATTTAAAAAGATGTTGGTTCGGTGCCCACGACATGGGATCAGTGATTATTAGTTGTACAACTGTTTATGTGAACGTATGAAACCCATGAAGCGACGTTTGATAAATGCTTCCAGCGGCTGTTCCTTAGGCGATATGACACCAACAACAATCCTGGAGCTAATCGAAAAGTTGGTGATAGAGTCAAAGCATTCTGGTAATGAAGATGAATGGTATCCGGATCAGCAAAGCGGTGTCAAAGAAATCAGCAATGCCCATCTGGAGTCTCAAATATGTGAACCGACAAAGGTTGTTCTGCTCCCGACAAAGGGAAAAAAATAGTTGCAAAGAAACAATGTGATATCTGCCTGAAAACTGAACATCCAACAGATATGTGTTTGTTACTATAAGAGGATGTAGCTCCAGTAAAAGCTGTTACAGGATACCAGCAACAGAAGATTTATAATCAGTCTCCAAACTATTATCAGAACAATAATTTTCAGTCAAGACAACAATTTCAGCAACCGTCAGGTTTTCAATAGACGAACTTTCAGCAGAATTCTCAGAATCAACATAACTTTCAGAATCCGAATCAGCAAAATTATCCGAGTCCGAATTTTCAAACTAGAATTCGCATCAGCAACCTAGTAGTTCCAATGTGGCCTTAGAAGATATTGTGAAAATTCTTGCCACGAGTACCCAAGCATTCTAGAACGAAACCAAAGCTAGTATTAAGAATCTGGAACAACAGGTGTCTCAACTTGCCACTTTCTGTGGGTCGTCTGGAATCTCAAGGAAAGTTACCGGGGGCACACTGAAAAAACAATCCAAAGCACAATGTGAGTGCTATTTCCTTGATAAGTGGGATAAGTTATGAAGGCCCAAGCGTATCTGAACTAGAAAAAGAAGCTGAAGAAGAATGAAGTTCTGGTTGAAGAAGAAGATGTAAAAGAACCAGAACAAGAAGAAGAAGAATACGATGTGGTTTTGGTTGAAGAAGAAACTGAATAAGATAAAGGAACAGAAACTCCACAACCAGTGAAGCCGAATCTGAAGGAGTACAAGCCCATACCACCCTTCCCATCACGACTGAGAAGCATGAAGCGCGAACGTGAGGACGGGGATATTATGGACACCTTTCGTAACGTGGAGGTAAATATCCCACTTTTAGAAATAATTAAACACACCCCTCGTTATGCTAAATTTCTGACAATTTTATTTGTTTCTAAGAAAAAAAATGAAAATTAATGAAACTATCAAAGCTGGAGAAAATATCTCTTCAATTTTGCAAAAAGGTTTGCCCCCAAATTGCAAGGATCCGGGAATTTTCTTGATTCCTTGTAAATTGGGGAACCTTACTTTTTCAAGTGTCATGCTTGAATTAGGTGCATCAGTAAATGTCCTGATGCAAAAAGGCATTGACTCTTAGGCTATATCTCTGAGGATTCGACCCTACTTCCCTATGCTATATTATTAGTGCAATCAACAGTGAAATTTTATTTGCTTAATACGTCTGCGGTTAATAGAAACCCTTCTGGAAGCTTTGCAGAAGTGGATTTTGGTGATTAAGTGCTTAATGGGTGGGTGCATACATTTAGTTTCCATTAAGGACTTAAGGTTTAAGATCTTGACTTATTGGGATATCTTATTGGATAAAGTTGGAAACTTTATCCATCAAGACCTTGGGTTAAATCTGAACTTTGGAGCTCTAAGATCTATAAGAAAACAACCTAATTCATTAAGCTATTCAGATCAGTTCCTACAACGCGGCCTTTAGGCTGCCACGACGTGGCGACTGAGGAGGTCTCGACTGTTTTGTCCTTACGCTGCGATAGTGTGGCCAATGGGAGGTCACGACGTGGCGACTCGTTGAAATGAGTGTTTGGCCTTTTGACTTGACTGTTGACTGTGGGGGTTGACTTTTTGACTTAGCTGACTTTTTGGTCAACTTATGGTTTGGACTTTAGGTTGAGGTTGAGTTTCCTTTTCTCTTATAGGTGACTTGTGGTGTCGATATTGATCTCGAGGGAGCTGTTTTATTTCTTGCTAGTTTGTGAGGTGAGTTTTCTCACTATGGTTTTGGGTCTAACGCACAAAGGCCAGCCCACCTGATTATGTTATGTATCCATGTGTATCGGATGTGTTATGCATTAGCGATATGTTATGTAGGTAGAATTGAATACTTATATGCGTTTTTATGTTATTTTTTATATGTAAATGTCAACATGTTGAGGTTGGGTGAAGCGGTCTAGCTGTGTGATGAAGGTTAAGAAGCATGGGCGATCCATTTGATATTGTAGGCCCAAGATGAGCGGTCCAGCTACTGTAGGCCTTGCGAGGCGGGCCAGTAGACTATAGGTTCGGGAGAACAGTCCAGGCATATTGTAGGCCTTACAAGGCGGTCCAGGCAGGCTGAAGGCTCATACTTGCATGCATTGTGTTTGTATGTTTTTTTGTGTGTGAGATTTTGGAGAACTCACTAAGCTTTGACTTACAATTATTGATTTCAATGTGTCGGGTACTTCTGAGGATCGAGAGAAAACGAAGGCATGATCGTGAACATCATCCCATGGACTTTTATATTTGGAGAGATGTATTGATACTCTGATTTGTCTTGATGTTTTGGAACACAATGTTTGATTGACTTATGGTTTTATGAAAATGGTTTTGAAATTCAAAAAAAATCACTATGGTTTTTTTGACGTTACAGTTTAGCAGATAGTTTGTCAATTTCACAAATAATATATGCAAAATTGGTAGTTGTTTTATTAAACTCTTCAATTTTTGCTTGAATCTTAGAAAACGTTAAATAAAATTAAGTTGGTATATATTTTTCTAATTATATTCATACTTATATAACCGAATAATAGTTAATTATAAATAAGACAAAATTTTATAATTGGTCGATGTGGTTTGCCAATAGTCTCACTTTAAAGAAAATGTTGTAAAACATCACATCGATGGTCCTTGCGATTTTATGTTTTTGCATGGTTGGTCCTTATCTTTATAAAAAAACTATATTGCCCTTCCAATATCTTTTTGATTTTCTTTTACCTATTTTTTAATTTTTGATGATAATGATTTAAAAACACACACACATACACACACCTCATACATAATCGTTGTTCATATACCAGCTTCGCCCCCACCCTATTTCAACTCGGGACACCACCTTCCCCATCCCCGACCTCTTTTTCTAAACCCCTACCATTACACATTCTCCTTTATGGCAAGAAAAACTTTATTCTCATAAGGTGGATTAATAGCTTTCACTCATATGAGAACTAAGATAGGTATGGGGATGTAAATCCTTCAAGGAAGGAACACTCGAGTGGAATCACTGTACAAAACAACTCGACCCCATTCAAGGTAGGCTCGTTAAGTAAGAATGAGTAGTTTTAGTTTGTGTTTCTTTTTCCTCCAAATCAAAATCATCGTCCATTGTGGAATCAACACCTATTTTGGAAATGTTCTTAGAAAATAATATTCTTCCCTTATATTGATGTGTTTCTTCACCATAGCCTTAGGGTTTAGCTTCCCTAGAACATGGTTTCTATTTTTTTCATGGCAGACTCCAGTAGAAACGAAGGATGGGGTAGTTGGGGAAGAAGAAGAGTGAAAATGAAGAGATATGGGTTGGAACAGTGAAAAGGTCAATAGCTTTAGGCAGGAAGGGGTGGATGGGTGGTAATCAGTCCACTATTTTGTTTTTTTTTAATTGAAATTCATCAAAAAAAAATATAAAATAAAATCCAAATAAATTAAAGAGGGTATAAAAGTCATTTTAGGGTGATTTAATGACTAACCATGCAAGAAAATAAAACCATGAGGACAAACTGCTTGACGTTTTGCAAAGTCATACTTAAAGTGAGATTTTTTTAAACCATAAGGACCAATTTTGAAATTTTGTCTATAAAAAATTAAGATATTTTTATAAAAGAATATAAAAGAGCTTTATTGAAAGTATAATGTAGTAATTGCAAAAGATTAATGGCATAGAGAAGTACGACTATATCATTGACAACAATTGACATGGATGAATTAATAATCCAACATTAGTTATGAGTACGGATGAGATTTATAACCGAAAAATCGAACCTCGACCAAAACCGGAACCGATTAAAACCATAATAAGCAAAGATCGGTTTGAGTATCGGGTTTTATAAATGGCTTTATCTGGTTTTCCAGGTTTGAGTCATTTGATTCCGGGTAATCGGGTTTTAGGAACTAAAAACTTTAGAGCTCCTATCAAGTTTCTCTCTGTTTGTGCGTACCAACAAGAGTTCGCAATCTAGTTTAATGCTTTTTTGCTAGTAATATTTTAATTCTTGTTTTAATAAATTAATTAGGCATCAGTTGTTCGTTTATAATTTGTGAGAGTTTCCCTTGCAGTATCATGGATTGATATGAGTAACACATTATACTGATTTCTTTTCAGAAATTATCTTCCAAAATGAGCTACCAGAACACTTAATAAACTACCATGACTTCCACTCACCCCCCATCTCCTTACTGAATTTATACTTCCATTCTGTAAAAAGAAATAGAAACTAGTATAACATTTTATTCAAAAGTCAAAACACAGAAAGTCAAAAGATACAAAAGAAAATAGAATCTTGAGTACATAAACTTACAAATCTTTAAGTTTTAAAGAGCATTAATGAAAACTGCGCATGACACCATGTAAGTAGCCTCCAGTCATTACAAATGACACCACCGACACAACACCCGCCGGAAAAACTTTACCCGACTTCTTAAACCGCATTCCCATCACTCCCAAAAGAGCACCAGACAAACCAAGTCCAACACACGATGCAAACACAGGATTCACCGGCAACTGTGTGTAAACAAACACCAATAATGCCGCCGATATCCCGCCGGAAATTAAAGATTTTTGGCTTCCACTCTTCAAAAACCCCATCACACCACCCAGCCCAACCAAGACGGCATACCCCAGTGTTAGCTTCTGAGACATCGACATGCCGATCTTTTTCGGTTCTTGATTCTCTTCTGGTGCTCCTCCACCCTCTCCACCACCACCACCGCCGCCGCTTCCACCGCCCCAGTTGTTGTCGCTTCCTTCACCACCACCACCACCGCCACCACCGCTACTGTCGGTTTGGAGTTCAGTTGGTTCAACAAAATCGACAGAAAGGGCGGTGGGGGGCTTTTCCGGGACCACGCTGCGGCTGATCACGCTGGAAAACCGGTTTCTAGAGTGGTGTTTGATGGTAATTGGGCGGTATAAAGAGAGATTTGGTGTGGTTTTTAATGACAAGAGATGGGTATTGTTAGTTGAAGTTGAAGGTGTGGGGGAAAGTTTATAGCAAGGTTGACGATAATGCCCTTGGATTGAAGCTAGGGAATGATATTGGGGAAGTGAAATGGAAGAATGGGAAATTGCTGAAAGCTCTCCTGTGATGGCCATAACTATGAAGCCTTCGGAAGAAGAAAGATTAGGAAAACAAATAGAAGATATAAGAGAATGATATTTTGCTTATTAGATCCAAAGTAAGATAAAATTGATAACATTTCTCTGTGTTCTAAGAGTGTTAAACATGACTCATAATCATACATTCATTTTTACATTAAAACTGAATGAACCTATCTTCTCGGGAACAGAAGTTCAAAACTACATTAAACATGAAAACAAGCAACATCTGGTGTTCATCTCACAGCAAAATCAATATCAAGTTTAGAATTAACAAGTACGAAAATCCAAGTCTAGCTGTGTTTGAAATTTAACGTCCGACAGTTCAATCATTCAAAAGATTAACGATAAAACTGCAAAATCCTGTGTTCAAGTCAATCAAAACCCCTGCTAAAATGTCTTAACAGCTGACAGATTTTGGTCAATACGAGTACGAAAATCTTCCACACGATTCGTAATACACTATCTGTTTAATCCGCTAGATTCGTGATTCATATTTTCAGATCATATAATCAATTCAACCAAAGGCCAAAGCCTTTCAAAATGTATAATTCGATAACGAACTTCAGTTTTTGGCAATTTTCGAATATGATTGAATAAAACACGAAGCAAAAATGAACATTCTACAAAAAAAAAAAGTCTAAATTAAACTGATATGAATATGATACCAAGGTATTGCTTACCTTTTAATTAGATGCTGAAAAACCCTAGTTTCGTTCTCTCAAGGGGTCGTTCGAAGCTGTAATAACTAATAAGCGTCAAACAACTAGTACACCCCGCCGTCCAAATAAACGGAGGAATAAGAACCCAAACCCCAAGCTAATGGGCCCAGAAATTCAGGTTCCCAAACATTAGGCCGGAATCTATCAAATGTATTCAAGAGTCCAAGTTACAACCCATATAGATATAGATGTTCAACATCTTCAGTTTCTGACAAATATTTATATTGTAATTTTTATTATCAATAACTTATTAATATTAGAGAAGTCAAATATCCTTTTACTTTTTTTATAATAATATTTAACAAACTAAGTTTATCCTATAGAAGAAAAACAACAATATCACTAAATTATTTCTTTATGTTAATTGTTTGGACAATATTTTTTTAATTTTATATGATTTGGATTTGGTTTACCTTATTAATAGCTAATAATATTGCTATTTATAGGCATTAGGCGACATGTCAATATTTAGGTTAAAATGTTACCCTTTCTACTTTACTTTGGTTTTGGGCTATAAGGTTTCAAGTCAAACGTTATTAGGTCACCTGTAGACATGCACAAAATGATCGATCATAGACTGAACCCAAAAAAAACCCAAACCGGACCAGTCTAAAATGAGATTGGACCTATAAAAGACCGCTCCGAGAAAAACCGGACTGTTCTGAGACCGATCCAAAAAAAAGACCGGACCGTTTCGTGACCGGTCCGAGACCGGTCTAAGACTGATCTCAAAAAAGACCGGGAAGCCAAAGTTTAAAAATATATCATTTTTGTGTTAATTACGCAAATTTTAATCAGACACTATCTAACATCATTTCATTTTTTCTTTTATTTAACATTAGTGTATCATTTTTAATAAAGTTTAATCTATTATTTTGGTGTTAATCTCACATTTGTTAAGGGAAAAACTCGAAACCGAAACTAAAAAACCAACATATATCGAAACTGAGCCGAAAAAACTCGAAAACCGACCCAAAAACTCGAAAACTGAACCGAAAAATGTGCACGGAACGACAGCGGGACTGGACTGAAAAAGACCGAGATCGGTCCCCAAAAAAATCGAACCGAAAGAGAGCGGTCTGAGAAAAGACCGAACTGAAAAAAGACCGGACCACTCCGAGACCGACCACAACAAGACCGGATCGTTTCGAGACTGACCCTAGACCGGTACAGGACCGAAAATGTGTGCAGTTCTATGTCAATGTCTATACATACAAATTACATTCATATTAAAATTATAGTACATGCAATTAAAAAGATGACGGAAATTTTTATATGCAGATTTATTATTAAATACATGATAATAAATTTATACTAAGAGAAAAAAAAATATTGGTTTCATAACAACTTTGTTTAGCCTTATTTATATGTTATAGGATAAATTTAAAAAGATGTCCAAACTTTTATATGCAAATTTATAACCAGGCCTAGAAAAAGGACTTTGTATGGTGTTTGAACATGTTGTAAATTTAAATTATTAGAATTTGAAGTCACGCCTAAATATTTAAAATTAATTATAATGTGATTATGGTCTCTTTGCATATTTTTTTATTGTATATTTTATCATTTTGAAATTAATCATTAAGTAATTATGACATCATCTTTCTTTGTCGGAATTACAGACTGATTTAACCAATTGAACCCCCGAATCGATAAGACTGTTAGTTTGTCTGTCCGGTCAGATTTTTACAACATTGATTTTAAATGTGCTCTCTACCGTGAAAATGTATTTGAGAATACTATTTCCTTAACCAATTATTTAAAAGGTTTAATTGAGAAAACTAGAAGATTGACAATATAAAAGGTTAAAGGTTCCCTTTGTTATGTTGATACGAATCCAATACTCACTAGCCCAACTGGCCCAACAAAGGATATCATCAGGCCCAAACGAATGACCCGTAAGCCTGCCAGGTTCTTAGAGTAACAACTGACAAGAAGAAAGGGTCTAACTTTGGAAGTAGTCTTTGTTGAATTAGTCTTTTCCCACGTTCCAGAATTTAGGCATGAGAATAGCTCACTCATAAGGTCCACGAGCACCATTAGTTCAACATTTCTAGTTTTTTCTTTCTGCTATTTAATTTGATTGTAAGTTGCTTTTTGGGGATGAAAAAAAACACAGAAAATTGCTTCAACTTTTGTCTTCATTTCTTTGGGAGAATTGTCATCTCGAATCGGCACGTATCATCTGGTGCTTTCATCACTTCGCCCTCCTGCTTCCGAAACCAGAATCCGGCTCCACCTCAGATACCTCCAACACTGTTCTCCATGACCAAATGCAAACACTTATTCGTTTATCCACCACTACAACTAACAAACTCGAGCAATTAGTTAATATCCTTGTAGCCAAGGAACAGCCACCACCACCACCACCCCCACCACCACCCAACCACCAACCAAGACAACCAAAAATTTCCCTACTTAACTTTGATGGATCCAACCCCCTAGATTGGATGTTCCAAGCCAATAATTATTTTGACTATTACAACATTGCTAACAATCAACGCCTTCCATTGGCTGTTTTTTACTTTACAGGAGATGCTCTGAGCTGGTATAAACACCTAGCAAATAATCACTTAATGGGCACATGGGTCGAATTATGTCGTGCATTGGAACTTCGCTTCGGGCCATCATCTTACAAAAATCATCAGGCCACCCTTTTCAAACTCAAGCAAACGTCGACAGTGGCAACTGATAGCTTATTTTATTTCCTTATTTTTATTAGTTTATTTTAGTATTTTTAGCTCTTTTTATTAGTATTGCATTGTATATTCTTTATTTTTCTTTATCATGGATCGTATCGGGGACTTTTAATTTTGCATGAGGAATTTTGCAAGGTTTTGGAGCTCATTGCGGTTGCGGTTTGACTGGAGTTAGACTTAGTGGGCTTTTCGATGCATTATTGGGCTTGGTGGATCCACCAAAGGAGATTTGGGCTTAAAAAGCTAAAGGCTTGGATGAAGTGGGCTTGTGAAGATAGATCATGGATAATTAATTTGGGCTTGGAGCATCCATTTTTGAAGCTAAAAGATGATTGGCTAGTTTGAATCATGTGGGATATGGAGGGGACCAAGAGAATCTTTGGTAATGGGATGGTTAGTGGAGGAAAAATGAGCCAATAGCATTCCAGCAGCATTTGTGCGGGTGGAATTTCCGTCGCGCGGGTACCCGCACAACTGCTCAGTTTTGGGCATTTTGGTCATTTGGCTTGCCATTACCTTGGGGGATTGGATCTATCAGCTACAACTTCGATTTTACACCATTGGAGACCTGGAGAAGGCGATTTTGAAGCTCAAGACTCATTTCTTTTCATCTTTCCAAGTTATTGGTAGTTTCTTTATGCAATTAGACTTTTGTGATTGTTATTCTAGTGCCATGAGTGGCTAAACTCTCTATTTTGGTAGACATTGGCTAAAACCTCTGAATATTTGTGGGTTTTTGAAGGATTTATGCTTATTTATCATTTATCTTATGTCTATGATTCTAGTTCATATTTCCTATGTTTGTTTAGTGCTTTGATCATTAGCTTGGTACTTTAATAAGCAATTGTTGGTTTATTTCTTTGGTTTAGCATTGAATCATTGAATTTACTTGGAACAAGGGTTTTATGATGGTAGAAATCATCTCTAGCTTATGAATCATAACTCCTTTATGGATGTGTAAGCATTGACATCCTCTGGGAATTGAGGATTTCTTCATTCTTAAGGCTAATCAACTTCTTGGGTTCAATTGCTTCAATTGGATCTTTGATTTTGATTAAGAAGGTGTGTTGTGGGCTTCCCCAACCTCCATACTACCTATGAGAAATCTTGGCATATCATGCTTCATGATTGCTATAACCAATTTGGGGTGAATGATAAGCTTCATGTTAAATCCTAATGATAAACACACAAATATTCATTGTGTTGAATTGTCTTGGTTTACCAATTCTCTCCAATATTTGAGCATCTCACTTTCTTGCTTAATTGCAAGTTTTTAGTTATTCAAGTCTTTTAGTTTTCAAGCAATCATAATACCCCCTTTTTAGTTTAATTGTAGTTAGTTAGTTTGTTTTCACTAGTTATATTGGATTGCATTGGTGATTGAATGCAACCATTTCCCCGAGGATCGATACCCCTTTTTACCATTATATTACGTTTTATTTGCAAACAAATGGTGTAATTTGCTTGGTGGACTTGACATCCCACCAGCAGCATACCAGACCGAATTCGAAAAAATTAGCAACCAGGTGGACGGTCTATCCCCGATAGCACTCAAAAATTGCTTTATCTCCGGTCT